TAACTCTATCCATCTATAGATACTTACTTATGTTTAGCCTGTATCTTTATCTCTTACTTTATATATACACACACATATCACGCGTGCGCGCATATATGGACATATGTAGGCACACATGAGGAGAGGGTAGAGAGGAGAGGGAGACTTAGTTCCTACTAAAAGAATTTGTCATTTGAAAATGAACCTCCCATTTAAATCAATAAGGACTATTTGAATTGCAAGTTTACACAGTATCTTGTTATCTCTCTCACTTTCATCCCGATCTGCAAAATTCATAACAAACTACTGGCCTAAGATGGATTGATTGAGTTTCCTTGAAGCTTCAATGACATGGACACCCTAGAGTTCCAAGTTGTATGGATATATGATTGGGGCATGTATTTTCTAATCTAGCCATTTATTAACATATCAACAATGTTAACTTTTATGCGTTAATTTTTTAGGGCTTAAACTGTTCCTTAATCCACCAGAGGAGAGTCTGTTCCGTCTAGTCTGCACAAAATGGATATGGGAAGGGCTGCAAATCTTCTTTGAGTGCAAGAACCCCCTTTTCTTGCTTCCTGTATATACCTATAATTCTATATATACATCTGCATGCGTGTATATATGTACATATATACATACTTGCATACACATATATGTATTCATATGTATATATGTATAAATATACATACATATGCATACATCCACGCTCTTTTTCTTGCTCCCTGTACACATGGAGGCATGTGGACACATGCATATAGTTAGAGAGAGATTAGGCTACTCTGGGGAGGATTTCGAGCCAAATACTTGCCATTTGAAATGATTTTTGGTCTTTTATATGAATGAACCATTCTGTTAAAGTTGACCTTCAGTATCTACACTAAAAATTAATGGAGTGTTTCATCCCATGCATTTAGGAGATGAATGTGGACATTCTAACTAGAAACTAGATTTGTTTAACGGTGTAGAAAACTTTGGACCTAACAAGAGTTGGCATATGAAGGTTTTATTTGTTTAGATTAGGACTGAATATTTGGAACAAGATTTTTAGAACCTTTTTCCACTGTACATTTTCTACCTATTTAAGATGTGGAGAAAAGTAAAAATACTTGATTATGTGCTTTTAGAGACTTTCAATGATATTAATCAACTTCAAAGGATTAGATGATGCAAAGGAACTCTACACTATGAAATTCCCATCAAAAGGACTATTTATGCCCATGCTCGCACGGATTCTTTTGATTTCTTTGATTTATATATGTTGGTTTTATACACCCTTCGAAAACATTAAATTACAAGTTCCCCTAGTGTAATGAAAGAGATGATTGATTATATTTCTTTGTAGACTATATGTTACAGATCATATTAATTTATGGTTAAATTACACTAAACCCCTAGCGTTATGGAGTAAATCCCTAATAACTTTCAAAATCACTCTAAACAATCCAAGAATTTTCAAAAATCATACTAAATTCTCCATAATTTTCGAAAACACAGTAATCCTACGGTAACTTTTGCAAAAAAACGTCCAAAGTTAATACTATTACATCTAACGTGGCACATGCAACCGACATGACTTGAAAAGAGCAAAATGCTACTTAAATTATTTAAAAATAACCTTTTTTGCCTTTTTATATTTTCAACCCTAAAACCAGAAGTCGCTTATTTATGTCATTCGTTTTCCTATTGCTCGCTTCCAGGATGTGATTGCAAATCCTAGTTTTTTTTTTTAATTTTTAATTTTGTTTTAATTGTCCTTCAAAATACCTTTTTATGTTGTTATTTTTCTAATTTATGGGGCTTATGTCCAAAATGTGGAAACTTATTGGGGTTTTAATTATTTCTGAAAAGTCTTTTTTTTTTTGGTTTAGTGTGATTTAAAAGTTATTGGTGGTTTAGTATGATTTTTGAAAGTTATTGGGGGCTTACGACAAAATGTTGAAAAGTTCATGACACGTGGCATTGTTTTGTGCACTTAGGTGGCGATGTTTTGTGCCTTTACGAGTAGTTCACCAATCTCATTATATATAATGGAGGGGTTTGAGTCCCAATCCTCTGAAAAGGACTCGTGTTTATGTTTGTGTGCGCGCGCATTGAATTTCTGCGAAAGTGATTACAATAATGGAATATGTTTTCTTAATGCTCTCGTTCTTATGATAATTCTATCCATAGCTTTAAGGCTTTTTTCCCCTTTTTCTAGTAAATCAAAGTGAGTTAGCTTTAAGGCGGGGTTTTGAGTTAGTATTGGATTGTCTAGATTGACGTCTTTAGCTTGTTTGTCTTGCCCCTTATGTTTGATTTCTTGTGGCTATATCTCGTGTCAATTGGTGCTTTGCTTGAACTCGTGCTGAACCTGGACTAGTTTCAAGAATAACATAAAGCCTTCAGATAAGGTTAGTATCATTCATAAATTCCATCCCTGGTTACAAAAATTTTTTGGATACCTAGAAGGACATTTTGAAGAATTTTAGTCATAAGCTTGCACCTTTTGCCTGTTATTGTATCTTGATGCATCAACAAGATGTCTCAAAATTATTCAAAATTTGGTGCATCCTACTTTAAATATTGTGGATTAAGAGTAACATATGGGATTCGCAATTTGAGTGGCTCTTTGTTGAATATAAAGTGGATGGATCTTGCTTCGAAACCTTTCTGGAAGGAGCCAAGAATAGTTCAGTACGCCAACGATTAATGCAACACAACCTTAATACATGCTGATATTTACGTGAACCTTTTGTCCTGTTGAACAACACGTGTAAGTGTAGAACATAATTACCTGTCTAGTTATATACTTTACCCTTCAATTCTTTTGGCAGCCGATATTCACGTAGTTTTTTAGAAGAAGTTTCTGGGCTAATTTACATGATTTAATGCAATGAACAATATCATATGATAAATGATATTTGTCAGATAGTTTGTGTTCACTCATTGTTTTTATTGTGCATAGGTGTGGACAAAACTCTCGCTTTCTATTCTTCGTTTATTATAACTACATTCCATAAATTCTGTCTTTATCCTATGTTTCTGTATCCTTTAAATTCAAAATCTCCACCCCCGCTAGAAAAAAATAAAATGGAAAAAAAGAAATTAAGACCAAAATACATGCATGCATGTACTTTTTTTTGTCTGTGTACATATATTCTAGGGAGTTCTTGTTAATCCGAAGATAGGATTTCACAAACCCTTGCCCTTGTGAGTTCATTCTGAATGGTATTGGTCAATCTTTATGGATTTTAAAGCAAATGAAGTAGTCTCTTGTAATAATGACCGTGGTGGGATGTCAGAAAGTTTTTATTACTATTCCTGAAGTTGACTTATAGACTGTTGTGTATGCAATATGCACACCCTTTCATGCACAGATGTTCAGAGATATATGTTTATATTATATGCATGCATTTATCTGGATTTATTCCATTTTGGACAACAGTCAAATCCAGCGACTAGCTATAAAATTGAAAATCAACAACGTTCAAATTTATGTACATGATTTAAGAAGATTTCCCCAATCATAGATCTAAGAAACATGCTAGTCTTCACCTTTTATTTTATGCTCAAGGGAAGCATGATTAAAATCAAAATTATGATCTTGTCCAGTCTTGTTCTCTAACAGCCTGGGTTTTGACCTTTGTGATATAAAACTGGGGTCAAAATTTTGATTGACTGGACCCTTAATGTTTTGCTAGGGTAGGTGGAAAAAGAAAGGGTTTGGGATAAATTACTGTTCTTCTTTCTAGTTTTCCCGTGTGCCAAAGGTTGGAAGGGACTTTCCTTTTTCTTCTCTTTTCTCCTGTTTCCTTACTGGCATCTTACACTCTCCTCTCTTCTCTTTGTGGAGGTAGGAGTACCATACAACTTTTTCTCAAATTTACCGAGTGGTTAGATATTGAAGTCTGATATGGATATTGTATTCTTTGGGTCAGATCAAAATAAACCTGGAAGCTGATAAATAATATGTAAATATACTTAATATGCATTCAAATGGTTCTTCTCTTATTCTCCGACACATACTTTATTTGTTGAGGGGCAAAAAAAATTGGAAAGGAAATAATGTGAAATGTGGAATGATAAAGAAATAGTACAACATGATAGGAGAAGATATTTTCTAGTTCTCTATTTCTTTCCTTCAATGTTTTCTCTTCTTTTAGGTCATAATAATGGACAGCCCATGTAGAACTCATATGATATACTACAATTGAATATCATGGCATTCCGTCAATTCCATAATCAGCATTAGGAGGTGCAAAGTAGCATCAATCTCATACAAATGAACAGTTACCAACTTTTAAAAACAAGATACTTAATTGAAAAAGTTTTAGCGTATAAGAAATAAAATAACTCCACCGTCATTAGCATTAAAATAAATTGTCTTACATATTTAACATATATTAAAATGATCTAATGTTCAGTGCTGAGAGAAACATATCTCAAACATTAGCTTATATGAAAATGATCTCCTAATTAGTGCAAAAATAAGATTACTTAAAGTTTTAGGTGATCTGAAAATTGAAATATTTCACAATAAGTTCTTTTCAGTAAATATATTATTTATCGAGTTTATTTGGCACAAAATACTTATGTAAGTTAGAATATTAGTTCAAAATTGACTTCATTTTATTAGTAAATACAACATTAGATTTCATCTACGTGTTATTAGTTCGTCAGCTATGGAAACTACTTCACATTCATTTCCCTAAATGGACATTTTTCTAATATATCTATATGTAATCTGTTGTATCAGATATTTTGTTAGGTGATATTTCATTAAATCTAACCTAATTTTAACTTGTAGAAAAACTGCAACTTGTAAATATTAGGGCTGATGGTTATGATCTGATATTTTTAATCTAAAGGAATGAAACTCCTGAAATACCAATACCAGGAAATAAAACTCAAAACCAAACATGGAGGTTTCTGAACTAGCTAATATCATTGATTGTTTGTTGCCACTCTAAATGATGTGATCAATTATAACGAAGTGCATTATCATTTGGCTGGCTATCATTGCATTATTATTTGAATGGCTATCAATTGAATGGGCTATCATATGAATTTGAATGGCAAGTATTTGTTTCCATTTCTTGGAAGTTGCCAATCACTGCCCCTCCCTCTTTATTTCTCATTAATACTCTCGGATGGCTGTGTTTTTGCAACTCATTCCACCTTTGCATATGTGCCGTGTGCAGATATAAATATTCAAACTTTGATTATCACATTTTGTATCCTGTAGTTTCCATTTCTTACCTAAAATCTATGTGCAGAACAATTTACATGTTACTGTCTCGGCCTCAGTTGCTTCTTCTGTTGTCTGGATGTCAGAGCTTCCGGCCAAACTTAACCCAGTAATTTTGCCCTTGATGGCTGCTGTCAAGAGGGAGCAGGTCAGGATCTGAAGCTGTGCAGTAGTTATCTATATTTTCTCTTTGTAGTCTTTTAAGTTAACTTTCCACATTCAGGAAGAAGTGTTGCAACTGAAGGCTGCAGAAGCACTTACTGATCTGATTTTTCACTGTGTTGGACGCAAGCCTAGCCCAAATGACAAGTTAATTAGGAACCTATGTAGCTTGACATGCTCTGATTTTAATGAAACACCTCAAGCAGCACTTGTCACGTCAATGGATGTAATTGAAGATCAAAATTTGTTGAAAAGTTAAAGTTCAATCGGTTGATGAAGATAGGTCAAGGATAGAAGGCTTCATAAGCAGACGTGGTTCGGAACTAGCGTTGGAGCATCTTTGTAAGAGGTTCGGGTCTTCATTGTTTGACAGACTTCCAAAGCTTTGGGACTGCCTTACTGAGATTTTCAAAGCCGTAAATCCTCAAGATCAACCTCTTACAGATGACCGAACAATATTAGAAATTGGAGACAGTTTAAACCGCAAGGATCCACAAGCTCTGATAAACAATATCCAGGTTTGTTTTCCTGTACTATCAATTTTGATTGAATCTTGCTATCATTTTACAGAATATTACTTTTCGCTTGAATGTTGAATTTTCTTCTTGTTGTCAATGATTTTAGTTATTAGGTCTCCGTGAATCTATGTTGCAGGGACACTTCTATGATAAAGCCATACTTATCCCGTACCCAAGCCCAACACTCCTTGCGCGTTCATTGAATATATGCATATATTATTCAGACGTGTACTCAATTAGATAATACATTACTTAATTTAAAACACTCAATTATATAATACATAATAAATGAAACATAAAAATGTTACAGAAATTTTGATTCTCGTTTCATGTCAATAAAAAAACAATATTTGATCTGATGTAAATTATTAAATTGCAATGTATATACAGTCGTGTCCCTGTCCCCTACTTCTATAAATTTGCTGTGTCCCATACGCGTGCCCGTACCCGTACCCGTACCCGTGCAACATAGCCGTGGATCATACAAAGCCATGTCCAGACTTTTAACTCATGCTTAAGCATTTAGGCTTTTCTGTGCACTGTCTGTTCTGTTGGTTATCTGTGGAAACTCAATGGGTTGATGTCTTACTGCTATAATGATTTTACTGTAGATTTAGTTCAGTTTCTTCTGGTCTTTACATTTATTAAGAATCACAATCTTGTTTTTTCTTTGGAAGATTCAAGGTGTGAGCTCACATATAAATGTTAGTGAAGCGTTAATTTGTTTAGAGTTGATGTCCATGGTCTTGAGCTTTTTTAAGAACTAGTCTTTTGCCCGTGCGAAGCACGCGCTGACTTTCCTCTCTATTTGTGTAATTCACTCCTGTACACCCCACTGTTATTATGCCTACCCCACTGTTCAACATAAAAGTTATATTCCTTGCAAAACGAATCAAAAAGATGATAGTCACAAGGAATTAAACGCATCGTGACAGTTTACACAAAAACCATAACAACCCCTTAACTTCATATAAAATTAATGTCCTTTCAATTTAATTGCATTTACTTTTCTATCTATCTCCCTCCAAAGCAAGTAAAACCTTTCAAGTTTTCTTGATATACTTGTAAAAGGACTTGGCTACTCTCACTATCAGAAGGTAGTGGGGATATTACTACTATAACAACCATTTATGTACTTTAGTGGATCCTTCCAAAAAAAAAATTGGAGCCTTCCTTTCCATCCACAATCTATTTACTTAAGCAAAGTAAAAGAACACAATGTAAAGCATGATATCACATTAACTAATGTGATGTGAGGATACAAAAGACATCCTCTGCTTCAGTTTACTATTTTCAAATTTCAAAACAACAGCCGATGATATTGTTCGAAAGAAGTATGTGAAATTTAAAATACATGAACCTGAAATAGTAGTGTCCTTTTGCAAACTTGTTTTTTCTTCGTAAGATTCAAGGTGTGATCTCACATATAGTGAAAGCTTTAACTTGTTTAGAATTGATATCCATTGTCTTGAACTTTTTTAAAAACGTGTCTCATTTCTACTTAGTCTTTACTGGTTTTTCTTCTCAATCTTATGTGAACTAGACTCCATGCATGTGCAAAATTCATGTCAGGACTTGATTTCCTTTTTTCTCTTTTAAAAGATAAATTTAGATATGAAATAAGTTTGAAAGGCAGCTAGGATTATTGTCCTTTATTTCTGAATTAGTTTATTTTCGAATGAAGATGAATTAAAGATCTTACTAGTTGGTACCAATGTACCATAGTCCAATCTAGGAGCAGCAACTGTTTCAGTTAAATTGATTTGTCATTTTTGTCTTGTTATACTTTCTAGTTGTTTTTTCTTTTTGTCCAGAGGAGGTGCATATAAAATTTGGTCTATCGCCTTCCAAATATGTAAATCTGTAATTCATCCTTTCTTTCCTTGATGTATATGCATATACATACACATACACATATATACATATACATACACAGATATATATTCTTCTCTAGGTTTAAGGGTTGGTAATACATGTAATGATGTGAAGGATGACTGCCAGTAGCATCCTTACTAGTTAACTGCGTGGTATTTAATGTTCTGTTTATTTACATGTTTCGATATGAGAATAAATTTTCACTGTAGACCCAAACGGAATTTTAATTACCAAAATCGACCGATTTTTTTTAATTACCAAAATCGACCCGTTTTATGCCACATAGGCTTAATCCAGTTTCCTAATTAGTCGGGGTCTATGTAGCACGGACACAGATCCGACACGGCCATCCGACACGCCGACACGAGGCAAATCCTAAAAAATACATAGGATACGTGTGTTCGACACGTGTGTCCGACACGGACACGACACGACACGGCTTCATGTTATGCGTGTCTGTGCTTCATAGGTCGGGGTTGCCAACCCCGACTGTTTAGGAGTTGTTAAACCCCGATTAGAAGCCTTAAAACCCGGTTTAACAACTCCTAAACAGTCGGGGTTGGCAACCCCGACTAATTAGGAAACTGGATTACGCCTACGTGGCATAAAACGGGTCGATTTTGGTAATTAAAAAAAATGGGTCGATTTTGGTAATTAAAATTCCGTTTGGGTCTACAGTGAAAATTTGTTCTTCGATATGATTACATTATAAATCATTATCCTGTCCAAGTTTCGTCTGATTTTCTGTATCTAACTTGCAATTTAAGATCATTGCATACTTTTTGTTAGCTTTCCGTGGTGTGCGTTATGTGTTTAGTCGGCTTCTGTTTTCCCTATCCTTTTTTTCCTCATCGCTTTTGTCTCCTGCTTTATTTTCATACGTTCATCAGGTGGTACGCTCAATTAGTTATATGGTGGATCAGACATTACAACCCAAATTCCTCTCTCTTCTTCCATGCATACTTGGGTGCTTGCGTCACTGCCATGTTGCTGTTAGGTTAGCGGCTTCGAGGTGTATAACCTCCATGGCCAAGTCTATGACAGCTTTTGTAATGGGAGCTGTTATTGGTAACGTTATACCTGTATCAGAATTCAACTCAGTTCAAGCAAGACAGGGAGGCAGGATGCTTGCTGACCTTTGAGTTAGTTCAGGGTTTAAGCTCGGAGCTGGTGCCTTATGCTCGTTTACTTGTTGTTCCTCTTCTGAAGTGTATGAGCGACTGTGATCTTGCTGTCAGACAGAGTGTAACGCATAGCTTTGCTGCTCTTGTGCCTCTTCTGCCACTAGCTAGAGGACTTCCTCCTCCAATTGGATTAAATGATAGTTTATCTAGAAATACTGAAGATGCACAGTTTTTGGAACAGCTTCTCGACAACTCCAGTATTGCTGATTACAAGCTCCCCGTTGACCTTAAAGTGTCATTAAGGAGGTATGAAATATCCAAATTCGCTATGTATGTCCATTCAGTTGTTTAAATACTTAGGCATATCAATTCTTACTTATAATGTGAAGTCAGGTCATCTAACGTTGTTGCGAAAATAAATAAATAAATATGACTTTCCTTCCATGATGTCCATAAACTGTTATGCATTAATAAAAATTTTTTTTCAAGAATTTTAACTTTTTCAATATTTAAATGATGCTCTCCTAGAGTTTTACGGACTGTAAGCTCATTTATAATCATATTTTATAAGATTATAAGGACAATTTTATTAACTCTTTATTTTTTGGAGTTGGATCTTTAATGGTTTCATTGAGTTGCATAAATGTAAAACACGATTAATGATTTAGCTGTTAGAATGATACTATAGATGACTTGCTGTTAGGTACAGATGTAACTCTATCATGGGCTGCAATGCTCATGCAATGGCAAAGGTTTACGGTATCTGGTTTCTCTCAGGAGTTATTTTGTTGCATAGTGCTGCCTTTTTTTTTTAATTTACATTTGATTATTGTTCCCATCTGTAGGTACCAGCAAGAAGGAGTTAACTGGTTATCCTTTTTGAGACGATTTAAGTTGCATGGAATATTGTGTGATGATATGGGACTTGGGAAAACTCTTCAAGCATCAGCAATAGTAGCTACTGACATTGTAGAGCAACGTGCTTGTAATAATGGGAAGGACCCTTCATCTTTGATTATCTGTCCTTCAACATTGGTTGGGCATTGGGCTTATGAGATTGAAAAGTTTATAGACAAATCTGTGATTATCACTCTTCAATATGCTGGTTCTGTTCAAGAAAGGACGTCACTTCAAGAACAATTTGACAAGTGCAATGTCGTCATAACATCGTATGATGTTGTCCGTAAAGATATTGACTATCTTGGGAGGCTTACCTGGAAATATTGTATTTTAGATGAGGGACACATCATCAAGAACCCAAAATCTAAAATCACTTGTGCAGTAAAACAGTTGAAAGCTGAGCACCGCCTTATCTTGAGCGGTACCCCTATCCAGGTTGGGTTTAGCCCCTATGACAGTTATTTAATCAGTATATTTTGTTGACTTCTGAGCAACACTTCTCTATTTTTATAACTATATCATGATTTCACTTGTACTGCAGAATAATGTCTTGGAGCTGTGGTCTCTTTTTGATTTTTTAATGCCTGGGTTCCTTGGTACAGAGAGACAGGTAAGTTTACATCCTCAGAGTTACAAATAGTTCTTTGTTGTTAAGATGCAGATGTTGAATTAGTCTCGTTGTTACTAATCTTGAATCTGCTTATGAGCTCTGCTGCCTCTCTAGATTATTATACTGTCTAATATTACAGAGCTGGAGATAAAATTTTCTTTTGAATGTTGTTAGCTGACTTACTTGAAAGGCTGATCATATGTTTTGGGTTAAGGCTTACTGTTCATACTTTATTCTAAAAACAGATGTCCAGCAACAAACACACTTTTTTACATTGATATCTCTTGAAATGCATTCTGCAGTAAATATACCACATAGTGATGAGTGAAATGTATTTATTTGTTCAAATTACTAGGAGGAATAACTGGGTGTGTAAGTTAGTTTGACATGTTTTGCTGATCATGTTCAAGTAATACATCTCATATCTGTACATGGGAATCAGGGACTGATCCGGAAATTTTTTTTCCTTTGGTGGATACATATACATTTAATCATATAAATTGATAAGTTATATAATGTAAGCTCTTCCAATAGAAAAACTTATACAATGATCACGAAGATCTTATAAATAATGTTTTTTCATTATCATGCTCATATCACTATATGATCATTTTAATTATCATAAACAAATTAATAAAATACTAAGTTTCAACAATAATCCATCACAACTGTTCTCTATGTGGGGCACCGCATAAATATTTTATGAGGGTAGCTATGTAATTTATAGGTAAATTTCTCACAAAAATTGGGACATGTGGGGACATGTGCCCCCACACCATACATGCTAGATCTGTCCTTGATGGGAGCTAATATCTGACATTGTGCACTTGATGTTGCAATCCTTCACTTTATCTTGAGTCTTGAGTAATGACTTCTATATTTTTGTGTCTTTTCTATCAATTGGATTTTGATTAATTTCTTATTTTGCGTGCTATTAACTCATTTTCATTCGCGGATCTCCTATAACAATTTTGTACTTTATCCGTTACTTTCTTCTATCGACTTTAAAAAATAGTCTGCTGATCTGTATTGAAAATAATGTTTTTAGACTTTCATTTTGATTTTTTCACATTCTTTAGGGATTTACTTACAGGGTACCTTATATTTTTCCTTTATTATGTGATTCAACAATCAGTTTATGTCTATTACCAATAATTTCCCAAGTTCTTCCTTTTTTATTACTGTTTCTACTTGCGTGTTTACCTTGTCACAGGGATTGCGGTTCCAATTATCTAGAAAAGTTCTGCTTCTAATTATAAAGTTTTGTACGCATACACCCATTTATTTTGTTGTTCCATCCTAGGATTGGTTGATCAGTTATAAAAGACAGCTGTGAGTATACGTAAGGTGCTTGAAGGCAAAGAAAACCTTCCCATGGCATTATTAAGTGATCATGAACTCGTTCTCAAATATTTGGTGCTACATTTATCGGACTGGAAGGGAAAGAAAACTAATCTACTAGGGAAAGGAGGGTCTCATTTTATTAATAGCTATCATTTTATTTATAGGTTATTGTATAGTTGATGCTATTTGATGTGTCATACGCTACCTTAAGTTGCCCTTTTAAGTTGGGTTGTTTAGTCTTATTTATAATTATGTGCATATTACTTTCTTTTCCTCCATGAGAATACCTTCTGCAGTGAAACACTTGTAGGTTTAGAGCTTCGACAACTTTGATAGAGAATTCTGGGCATGTTACTGGTGCTTAGATGGAAATTACTTTCTGTTGGATTCTGACGTCATATGGGTTTTGCTGATTCCATAAGTTTGATTGAGTTGGCATAAACAAAATAAACAAAATTTGTCTCCTTCAATATATATCCTTGTTGTTCTACATGATGGGGTTTCTTATGCAGTTCCAGGCCACCTATGGGAAACCACTTTCGACAGCCAAGGATTCGAAATGCTCTGCTAAGGATGCTGAAGCAGGGGTTCTTGCTATGGAAGCATTGCAT